GTCTGATGCTGGATTTCCACTAGACATTAAATGGCAAAAATGGTAATAACAACGTTGGGCTTTAAAAAATATTCGTGTCATTGCCTTAAAAAATTGTCTTAAAATTCATTTTCACGTTGCATTTTTTAAATGGCACAAATTTTTCTCATTCTAATGCCTGGTGGAAATTCGGCATAAGAAAAAATACATCTGAAAAAGACTTATCTCACAAAGTTGACATTGCTAGCAAATGCAAATAAGAATTGAAATTTTAAAACTAATTAATAAAATTATAGTTAGTAAAACCCGTGGAAAATTAACAATAAAATACTTTCTTCGCAAAATCTATAAGGAAGTTTTTCATTAAAAAAAAAAAAAACTGTGTACCAGCTATTCGTCACCACGCTGTACATGCATACATATATACATACGTACATATCGAGGGCTTTTATATTCAAAATATCCCCTATCTGCAATTTTCTGATATAAAAATCCATCTAATACTTAGCTATTTTAGATGTGTTATTGTTAATCTTATTACCAAGCTTTTTTTAACTTCCCTGCAAAAAATTGGGCGACTAATCTCTAAAGAGAGTATTCCGATATTACTCTCAATCGGGTACAATTGGGCATTAATTAGTCCCAACTAGTCTCATACGGGTACTAATGGAGCGATCAGTTCATCCATATAAAGAGATCAAAAGTGGTATTAGTCGCATGCTCCTTTGCGATTGCTCCCGGAGTCATCCCGGATTAGTCCCATTTTTCGCAGGGTTACTATTGGATTGCAAAGTTAGAATTAACATCAGTGATGACAGTTAAGACCCAGGTGAATTCTAACCAGAATTTCGGTTAATATAATACAGTTTTTCATTCCATGAGTAAATAAATACGCCAGCCAACATTTGTTGTATATACATATGTATGTACATATGAACCAGGGTTGTGCACTTACACAAATTTTCACATTTTTGACACTTGCATTGTAAATAATTGTAAAACATTGTAAACAACTGTAAATTGTTGATTAATTGCATTGTTTACAATTATTCACAATAATTTACAAGTAAAGAATTTATGTAAATAATGTAAACTAGTAATCATCCCCGAAAATCGGGGTGCTCCGTGGTCTAAAAAATCTACATATTTCTTTATTCTAAAAACTACATACATTGGTAGTTAACTTTAACATTGATATTTTGGCAAGTTCATACATAGCTGGCCATGCGTAAAGCAATCCTCTTGCTAGGGTTGGACCTTGAGATAAAAATCACGTAACTTCCGTGATCGTGCGTTCGAAGACATTACAGATTTTCCACTTCTTAGAAGCCTTTCAAAGCAATTTTTTAACGAACCAGCTAGCACATCAACTATTTAAAGAGTTTTATCTGTGTCAGGCAGAGTTCTAGAAGACGTACACGATTGATGTTAACCTCGAAAAAAATTATTTTTAAACAAAAATATGAGATAACGTCATTTTAAAATTACATTGAATGAATATTTATGAGTATTATTGATTCTATAAAATTTGTAAAAAAAGAACTAATAGCGCGTTCCTGCCAGGCAAGGCATTTGGCCAAGCTTTTATAACAATACTTGTGCGATGAAGCCTATTTATATGAAATGCTGTTTATATAAATAAAGTTTCAATTTGAAAACAAAAACGTCCGTGAGCGTGATTCGAAAAAAATATAACAGAACGTGAGTGTGCGTGTTTCACAAAACCATCAACGTGAGCGTGCGTGCGTGGTTCGCACCGAGACAAAATATTTACCAATATTTACATTGTTTACAATTATTTATAATAATTTACAATTACTTATAATTGTTCACAATTCTTTACAAATGTTCATTAATATCATCCTGTAAATATTTACATTATTTACAAGTAAAGAATTCTTGTAAATAATGTAATATTGTAAATAGTTTACAGATACAACCCTGATATGAACATATGTAGTTACATATGTACAGAGTATGTATGTATATATTTATTTGAGATATATATTTTTTTTTCAAACTAGGAATCTATTCTATTAAGGTTTCGTCAGGGGAAGCAATATACTTAATCAAGTTACAGCTGTACAGGCAGGTTCTGCAGTTCATTTACGAGTGAATTTCAACTTCCGCCAATTTTAATTTAAAAACGCATTTGATTGAAATTCACTCGGAAGTGAATAACCCACGATGTAGCGAACAAAGGAGGCGCATTCCACAAGCCGATTTTAACAATTTTGAAGTAAAAGTAAACGACGCCTCAGAAACCTTAAATGCACTAAAAATCCGCTATTACTTTCACCAAAATCACCGTTAAAACCATTTTCTTTATCAATTATTTTTATAAAACATATATTTTTACAATTCAACATAATTGAACCACATTTCCTATCGAAAAATTGAATGTTAAGAAAATTGCTCTGTTGGCAGTTTAGGCTTTGTTTACTTTTACTTGAGAAATTTCCTCGCTGCCGGGAATGCGGCATCTTGTATTCTATCATTCCTGTCTATCGTTACCTGTATCGAGTGAAGTGTTAAGTGTGCTCCGGTCGTTAGAAAACTATTAGGGCTGTTCCGGATGTTGGCAAAATGGTTTTGGATTTGCAGTTGGAATTGCATTTGCAAATTTAATGCTTGCATATGTATGCCATGTATGTACATATGTATGTATAAGGAGTTCCATAACAAGATGCAATAATTCCACTCTTCATTTTTCGGGCTTTTGTTTGTACCTTATGCCGTTTTCTTATCTATAAAAATGTTGACTTTTCCTTAACCTTTTCTTAGCATTTGTGCCAAGAAGCACAAGAAGCCCTTCTCGGGTATGCCTCTTAGAAAAGAAAGGCTTCACTTATGAAGGCCTACCTAAATTATCTTCCGGGAAGCAACTATCTGGCAGTAATACAATTTTTTTTTTTTCAATAATCTCAACAACTGAAGTGGATCTCCTCTGTTATGGAATTTCTCGTACATATGCAGTATAGGGCATTAATAAACTGAAATTTTAAGAAAAATGTTTTCATCATATCTAACAACTTTTGATAGAATTAGATATTATAACAAGTAATTGTTAAGCAAAAAACAAAACCGACTTCAATTCACATATAAAAATTTTAGATTATCGTTAATTTCTTCATGATACGACGATCGGATCTAAACCAAATTAATATGGGACATCCTGTGAGGTAAAACCTTTCCTTAAAAAAGAAATTATAGAAATCGGTTGATGTGGTCCAAAGTTATGCGGTAACATAGTACAAAAAAAAATAAAAAAATATTCCGACGAATTGATAACCTTTCTCCTTTTAGTGAAGTCGGTTAAAAAGAAATTTAATGTGGGAAAAATAAAAATTAGTTGACGTACACAACTAAAGGCAGATTTAGGAGTTCGAAAAATTTAATATCTATAATCATTGAAAAGTACTGTGAACTACAGTTTAAGGGTGCATAATTGTATTTCTTTCCAACCAGCTTGGATGTCATAAATAAAACCAGATATTGACATATATATGTATGTACATACATAAATGTATTTATATTCAGCGGTCATGTTTACTACTACTTTACTATATATACTTGCTATATAATCTTTATCAAACTACATACCTAAATACGCACACATGTATGTATTAACTTAAAGGTTTTTGTTTTCAATATTTTAAACTGCGCAGTTTTATGCATATTCTTTATGATTGCATATTTATAGTGTTTTGAATCTGGTTTCATCTTTTGGAAAACTAAAAGGATGTGGAGCAAGTATTGGAACTTTTTTAAACCAAGGACGAGCCTTTGCGTAATATTTTACAGCCGGGCTCTGTTTACATGTTTGCATACATACATAGTATCTGCTAGCTATTCATTTAAAACTGATAATTTGAATTTTTTAGACTCTGTGAAATCGAATTTCGTTTCATTCATAATTGTCCCGTCAACTATATTTTTTTTTTTTGCATATGTATTTATATATATTGGTTTTTCATTTTTTTTCATATTCTTTCCTTCAGTCATTCCAACTGCTTACTGAACCCATTCCACCTAAACTGGATGACGTTGTTGGCTGCGGCGTCTTCTGTGGTCGCCGCTTTTCCACCAGCTTAACGTCCTTTACACAGAGATCATGTTTTGACTCGGCTGCAAATTTTATCACTGCCTGCGTTGGCACCAACGGTACGTGCCGCAAATCCAACCAAATCAATTGCTCGCATTTAGCTAAATGTTCCAATGAAAACTCGGAAACCAGTCGACATGCACTCAAATTCAATTCCACCAATTTTGCGATGGCCGTTGGTGATGTGCCTATTTGTGCCACTCCAGCATCCGTTATACGTTGGCATGACGAAAGATCCAAATGCACAAGATTCGGCAGTGCTTGTGTTATATAGCGCAGCGCCACGTCAGTTATGTCCGTTCCGGCCAATTTGAGTCGTTTGAGATCTCGTAGACGTGTCTTCGAATCAGCTAACCCTGGTCGCGAATCCTTCGGCGGAGACAGTATATCACGAATTGCGGCATCGTTAAGACCGCGCACAAAACTCAGATCCAGTATTTGTAGTGGCGGGCAGAGGCAAGTGTGCAGAGCTAACACCGCCTGAATGGGACAATTCTGCAACGAGAGATGCTTGAGTGCTGGTAGACGTGCAATCACCCACGCTAGTTGCCGCTTGGCAATTTGTGTCCAATCAAGTATTAAGTGTTCCGGTTGACGTCGCACAATCGCCGTTAGCAGTGAGGCAGACAACTTGTGCTCGGCACAATTCATTGTCTTCCAGAGATCAGGATCCACGGCCACATTTGACCATACTTTGCAGACTGAACAGCAGGTGACTAGGGTCTCTTGGGGCAAATAGCGAAATATGATCTTAAGCAATGTAGGATCGAGCGCTAAATTGGCAGCACCCATGTGACTACCGCTTAAACTGCTACCTGCGGACGTCAAGTGACCAGCCGGTCGCACCACATACTGGGGCTTCTTAAGTACTCGCGTTGATGAGTTAAGCATTTGTTGAGCCAACTGGGAGCGTATCGAATTTTTTTTGCGCGATATTTGCGTGCCATTGTTGCCACTAATACCACCATTGCCGCCAGCGCTCACGTGACAATCCATGGATGCACTCGCATCAACACTATCCTGCATACTGCTGCACAAGCTCAGGCCGTCATCGCTCTTTCGCCTTTTGATGCGATCGTTGGTTGCGTTGGGAGAGATACCGGGCGAAGAGGTATCATAGCTGCGTTCAGTCTTCACCTCAATGTGGTGGTGATGCCGCTTAGCACCGTGCTTCCAGTGTGCAGCATTGGCTGTACAAGTCTCTATTTCCGATTCACTTGTGAAAACAAAATCATTGTACTGTCCAATAGGTGGTGGCAATTGATTGCTATCGTGATCATGTCCGGCTGTGACAATATTTGAACCTCCAACCGATGTACGTCGAACCTCCGACGACTTTTGGCGAGCTCGAAAGTGACGGGGCTGCAAAAATACGGTCAGTTAGTATAAACGTGGCAAAATGAAATGAAATATGTATGAAAAGGTATGGAAGTCTAAGAAGAAAGTTTTCAGAAGAAAATTTTATTTGCGATTTTCTGAGAATTACAGCCTTATAGAGGGTTATTGCCCGATTTCACAAACTTCCAACACCTTTATTTCAGGGATAAAAAGCAGTGAGAGCACCAAATTTATGAAAGATCATTTAAACATTTACACATAATTTAAAATAATCGGGCGGTATCGCATTTTTTCTGAAGTTTTACAAGAATCCAATTTTTTGGAAAAAAGTTTAATCTAAAAATCAAATCTAAGCAATTAAGCTTTTGCATTTTTTTTAACCCTCTATCCAATACCTCCGGGGATGTGAAAAATGCCCGTTAAAAGCGCAACCCTTTATTTTAAGTTTAAAAGCTCGCGCATCGCGGATTTCTATTTTTCAACTTTGTTTGATTTTTTTCTCGTCTTTGAATTATCTTACTGAAAAGTGCGATATATATTTTTGTAGGAAATTGGACGCTCTCCAAAAAATATTTATTATCATTTTATTATAAACCTACTGGTTTAACGGTTATTCAAACTTAAATTTAAATGTATGTCATTGCTACAGTTTTTTCTTCTATTTTAAGTAAAGTAATTAAAATTATCAATAAATATTGCAAATTTTTTTTACAAAAATGCTGCAAACTGTAATTCCCTGTTAGCAAAAGTTATTAAAATCATTAGGGCAATTCATCTAAGCGCGTAAATACCTCGTAACCACGTAAATCTCGTAAACTTACATAATTTTATATGGAAACCGGGGGTTTACGCGGTTACGAGGCATTTACGAAATCGAAATCAGTTGACGTGGTCCAAAGTTATGCGGTAACATACATAAAAAAAAAAAATAAAAAAAAAATAAAAAATAAAATATTCCGACGAACTGATAACCTCTCCTTTTTTGGAAGTCGGTTAAAAATGAAAATTTCATGAAGTACACGTAGTTTAACACCAATATCATAGGCTTAAACACATAAAGAAAAACTTTATTAAAAAAATAGATAAAGCAATGTTATGTAATTTTTTATACATATTATACATATTTGTCCA